AGCCCAAGCATCCATCCTTCCATGGCAGCTTGAATCTAATAGGTCAAAAGTAGAAGCTGCAAGATCTCTTATGATCTGAGCTCAGAAGCCTGAGAACATAATTTCCATTACATTTTATTGGTTAGGAGCCAGCCCAGACTCACAGTGAGGGAAAAGAGTCTTGATGAGAGAAGTAGAATATATATATATATGTATGTATGAGTGGGACAAATTATAGATGGCCATTTTTGGAAATAGTCTGTGATAATCTTTCCTCTGGCCACAAGTTAATGTTTCTCCCACAGGCAAAATGTGCTCACCCCTTCCTTCTAAAATCTTGCTACTACAGTTTTCTTTTGACATCTATTTGCATGATGTTTCTCCATTCCCTCACTTTCAATCTGCAGGTCTCTTCAGGTCTGAAATAGATGAGTCTTGTTTTTTTATCCATTCTGTATCCCTATGTCCTTTGACTGCAGTGTTTAATCCATTTATACTCAGAGTAATTATTGATAGATATATATTTATTGCCATTTTGTTACATGTTTTCTGGTTTCTATAGTTTTTCTCTGATCCCTTTAGCTCTTGCTATCTTTAATCATTTGCTGGCTTTCTTTAGTGATATACTCGGATTTCTTTTTCTTTTTCTTATTCTTTGCATATCTATTACTGGATTTGGGTTTGGGGTTACCATTAGGTTTGTATAGAACATTGCATGTAACAATCTGTATGAAGTTGATGGTCACTTAAATTGGAACCCATTCCTTACTCTCTCACTCTCTCCCATTTTAGGTATGTGGTGTCATATTATAAATCCTTTTATTTTGTGAATCCCTTCACTGATATTTACAGATAGACTTATTTTTACTTTTGTTGTGTTTTGTACTTTCCATATTCTCACTTATGGTCTTTCCTTTCCACTCTAAGAGTCCCCATTAATATTTCTTGTGGGGACGGTTTAGTGGTCATGAGCTCCTTTAGTTTTTATTTGTCTGAGAAACTCTTTATCGCTGTTTCTATTCTGAATTATAGCCTTGCTGAATAGAGTATTATTGGCTGCAGATTTCTCCCTTTCAGCACTTTGAATTTATCATGGCACTCCTTTCTAGCCTGCAAAGTTTCTGCTGAAAACCAGCTGATATCCTTATGGGGTTTCCGTTGTATGTAATAGTTTTTTCTCTTGCTGCTTAAAAAATTTTCTCTTTATCACTACATTGTGATTAGCAGATGTCTTGGTGTGGACCTCCTTGGGTTGATTTTGTTGGGGGATCTCTGCTTTCTGGATCTGGATATCTGTTTCCTTTCCCAGATTAGGAATGTTTTCAGCTATTATTTCTTTAAATAAATTTTCTGCCCCCTTTTGTCTCTCCTTCTTCTGGGATCCCTACACTGTGAATATTATTATGCTTGATGAAGTCACTGAGTTCCTTAAGTCTGTTCTCATTTTGTATATATATATTTTTCTCTCACTTACTTTGCTCGAATACTTTCCATTATTCTGTCTTCCAGGTTATTAATTTGTTCTTCTGCTCCCTCTAGCCTGCTATTTATTCCATCATGTGTATTTTTAATTTCAATTGTCATATTCTTGATCTCTGTTTTCTTTTTAATCTCTTTGTTAAGGGTCTCATTGACGTCTTCTATTCTTTTCTCAAGTCCACTGAATATCATTATAATCATCACTTTAAATTATCAGGCATAACTTAGGTTATGAGTTACAACTGTTTCACTTAGGTCTCTTGCTATGATTTTGTCTTATTCTTTAATTTGGGACATATTCCTCTGTTTCTTCATTTTGCCTAACTCTCTGTGTCTGTTTCTATGTGTTAGGAAAGTCAGTTACATCTCTTGCCCTTGAAAGTAGTGGGGCATGCTCTTTTAATAAGGCTATGTCTGTCTTCTTCCCACAGGGGTGCGTAGCCACTTCTGAGACTGAGCCAGCCACAGCTGCTCAGGGGAGTGCAGTCTTAATAATACGCACTTGTCCTCTGCAAGAATTCAGGAGATGCAGTGTTGGCATGGTTTGCACTGGTTTTCTGGGGAGGGGACCCACAGCTTTGGGACTGAGGCAGCCTCAGCTGGAGGGGGGAAGGGATGGTGTAGGGAAGTTAGATAGTGAACGCCAGTGCCTGGCTGGTTCCCACATGTGGCTATGTGATTATGCTGTGGGATGGGGAAGGAAATGGCACCTGCTAGCTCCTTTTTTCCTGGAGAAGTTCCTCAGTGAACTCTGGGATTACTAACTAACTCTCCCTCCTATATGCCCAAATATTTTTGAAACTGCTGCTTCTAAGCTGTATCTTACTAGCAGTTGTGCTTTCTCTTTAAGGCTGAGGACTCAGCTTCCTAATACCCTCCAGGCTCTTTTAGAGTGGAGTCACTGACTTTTGAAAATTCTAGGGTTAAATCCTGCTGGTTGTAAGAACTCATGAAATCTGGCCCCCCTGATTTTCAGAGCCAAATGTTATGGGGATTAATCTTCCCTGTTCAGGGTCTCCAGTGTGATAGTCTATTTCTTACCCCTCTCTGTGCCAACAGACCGCTCCCTCCCATGGATGGCCCACTATCCATTTAGGTCCCTACAGTGTCTCCACCCTTCCTACCTTCTTTGATGTAGCCTTTTCTCTACATTTAGTTGTGGAGTTTGTTCTGCCAGTCTTTGTGTCTTTTTCTGGGTTATTTGCACTGATTTGCACTGGGTTATTTGCACTGTTATCTATTTGTTTCTGTGGGATGAGGTGAAGTTAGGATCCTCCTACTCTGCCGTCTTTCCAGGAAGTCCAATAGTGTCTTCCCTCTTGACATTTTAAGTTCAAAACTATGTTTAAAAAATAATCTCAGTGGATCTTAATTTATGGCTATAAATGCATCCATCAGAGCTTTCTGAGTTCTGTTTTCTTGTAGTTATTTTCTGTCTGCCCCTTTAGATCTGCCTTAGTGGGGATACCTCTTTGTATCATTCAAATTAGTCTTCCTCTCTGAAGTTACTTAGTCCCAGTAAATGGCTTGTTATATTTCTGTGCCTATTTCTGAATGTGAGTTTCCACAGTACATTATAGTCCTAGACAGAGATCTCTTTAACAGGAGCTAGAAGGCTTTTGTCCTCATTATTACCTTTTTCTGTTTTTATAGATGTTGTATTTGTATTCTTTCAAATTTCAATGAGAATAAAAATATAGATTTAAATCTTTCTTCTGTTTCTTAAGATAACACTTTCAGAAGAGAAACATTTACTCTATACTTTGAAGATGGTTTTCCATTTTCATTTAAAATTCATATTTTTCTGATGAGAAGCAGTCATTTAAAGCAACATTTCTCTCATGTAATTTGGCATTCTCTTCGTCTACTTTTAAGATTTTCTCTTTTCACTTGGTTTTCAACATTTCATTCTGATGTGTGTAGGCATGATTTTCTTTATATACATCAACTTGGGGTTTGCTGGGCATCTTGAGTATGTAAATCTTACCAAATTTGAGAAAATTTCAGCTACTTTTTCAACCATTTTTTCTATCACTTTCTCTCTTTTCCTTATGAGAAAGCAATTACATGTTAGATATTTGATAGTATTCCAAATGTTCCTCAGTCCCTCTTCATTTTTAAAATATTCTTATGTCTTTAGATAGGTGTTTTCTACTGATGTATCTTCAAATGGTCTGACTCTTTCCACTGTCCTATCCAATTTGCACCTATGCTCATCCTTTAAATTTTTAAAATTCAGGTACTGTGTTTTTCTCTACTGTAATTTACATTGGCTCTTTTTTATAGGTCATAATAATCAGCTGAAATTTTTATTATTTCCTTCATTATGAACATATTTGCCCTTACTTTGGGTATTGTTATAATAGCTGCTTTAAAATTCTTGTACACTAATTTTAAAATCAAATCTATCTTGAGATCACTCTCTGTAGATTGTTTTTATCTTATGAGTAAGTGTCATTTTGCTGTTTCTTTAAATGTCAAGTAATTCTAAATTGTATATTGAATATTGGGAATATCATGTTCAAACTCTGGATTCTGCTATATTCTTCTGGTATGGCTTATTTTTGTTTGTTTTGCATTAATATACTTAACATTATTGGATGCAAAATGAAAATTCTGTGTTTAGGCAGCAGCTCAAATTGCATTTCAGTTCTTTTAGGTTTTGGTAGGCTGCTTGGTCTTCCCTATGCATATGTGGTTCAGGGCTTGGCGGGGGGAGGTTGGGAAGGGTTTATACAGAGTTTGGGTCGCCTTCTCTCATTGTCTCTTTTGTGTGACTTCCCCTAAGTTTTTCAGTGGTTATGATTGCCCTGATTTCCTTCCTCTGGTTTGTAAGGTGTAAAAACTCATTTTTTTTTTTTAAATCAGCTATTAGATGCGCTGTCTGGCTCAGGTAGGGCTTGCCCTCAGACTAGAAGCCAGGAAACAAGAATCTTACCTAGGACTCTTTCTTCTTCCAAGCATCACCTTCTCTCAAGAATCCACCTATTCTTGGTTGCTATCCAGTGTTGATATTTATATTTTGTTCTGGGTTTGTAGTTTTTATGTGTGGCAGGGTCTGTCCTGTAGGAACTTGCCCTGCTATACCAGAAACAGAGCTGGGGATTTTAGATATGATTCCTCAAACTGTCTCTCATCTGATGGAGAATTGCTGAGACATTTCATGTGTAACAGAATCCATTCATTCTCACAGAGTCAAAACTCTGCTTATTTTCTGTTAAGAGTAGAGTTGCTTCTTTTCATAAAATTTGAAATGTTTGTATTTAAATTTTTCAGGCCTAGAGAAAAGGAAAAATGAAATATTTAACTTACTGTAGTAATAATTTATCAGATTCAAGTCAGTTTTCCTGTAGAAAATCAGTAGGAAGATACAGCTGCAGAAATTATCCGCCATTATTCCTGAGAAAAGTGCAAGTACTGTGTGTGCTCCAGTCATCATCTTGGCTATCTCTGTATTTTAGAAAGATAATAATTGTAACAATAAATTCATAGAAACAGAAATACTAAAATGAATGCATTTTCTCCCTCATATTACATCGTAGAAAGTAGCCCACGCTCTGGAAATTGAGAACAAAGTCCTTCAGGAACAACTGAAACAGGCTTTCCAGGTAAATTACATAATGTTCTTTTAAAATTGTTAACAAGTGAAAGAAATATCTGTAAACAACTTTTAAATGAATAATTTTGACCTTGAAAACTAATAGGTGTATTGTACTATTTTTCCAGATTTAAAGTACTTTCATTTTATGTACTAGGAATACATTAATAAAATTTAATATTCATTATTACTCAAAACAATAAAATAGAAAAGTAAACTTCCTTAATCAAATAAAATAAATCTATTTCAAACTGAGACACTGTTATGTGGACAATAATGCAGGCATTCCAGCTCAACTCAATTAAACTAGGATATTGGTTTTTACTACTCTTTATGAAATTCTTGTTAAATGATTAAAGAAATGAAAAAAGCTACAAACATTTTCATAAGTGGATAGACAAAAGTATAATTATTTTTATATTACTTTTCCTTTGAAAAAATGCAAGATAATACACAAATTTATTAATGATATAATTCCAAAATGTGGCTGAAGACAAAATAGATATAAAAAAGCAATGGAAGGAGGCTGGGAAAATGGCAGAATAGGAGGACCCTAAGCACAGCTCATCCTACAGATATAGCTAGATAACACTCATATCAGCATAAATAACCCAGAAAACAACCTGAAGGCTGGCAGAACAAACTCCACAATTAAAGGTAGAAAAGAGGCCACATTGAAGAGGGTAGGCAGGGTGAGGACATGGTGGGGAGCTAAACATGCATGTGGGACTGTCCCCAGGAGGAAGGGACACTGTGAGTAAAAGAGGGAAGAGAAGCAGACCGTTACACTGGGGAGCCTGCATGGAGAAGATGAATCTCCGTAACATTTGACTTTGAAAACAAGAGGCTCCAAATTTTGTGAGTTCTCACAAGTAGCAGGACTTAAAGCCTGGAATTTTAAAAATTAGCAGGTGGGCTCTGAGAGAGCCCCAAGGGTATTAGGAAGCTGAGTCCTGTCTTTAATGAGACAGCACAATAAACAACTTATGGAGGTACAGCATAGTAGCAGCAGTTTGAAAAATGCTTGGAATATATGGGAGGGAGAGTTATTTACTCATCTCAGAGTGGTGAGAATCAAAGGGACACCCCTCCAGGACAAAGGAGGTGTTAGGTGCCTTCACTCTTCCCCACCTTCCAGCATAAACATAAGGCCATCTCTAGGAACCAGCATGATGCCAACATTCAGTACCTTACACTAAGCCCCACCCTCTCACCCTTCAGTAGACCCAAACTTCCCATTTGCCTCAGTCCCAGTGCTGTGGATCCCTTTCCCCAGAAGACCCATGCAAACTTCACCAGTACCTCCTTTTTTGTCTACTCATTTTGGTCCTCTTGGTCCTGGCAGTGGTGGCAGGCCCTATGGAAACCCAAGCTGCAACCTTGTTAAAATTGTGTGCCCTACCCATGCAGCACTGGTCCACTGCCACAGAAGCAGTGCCAGGTCTCATTTCACTAGCAGACTGGTGTGTACCTTGTAAAATGTGCTCCACCACAGCCTGGGACCAAACACTGTCAACAATAGGCAGAGAGTTCTGCAGATGACTGAAGAAAAAAGTGGCTAGGACACAACTGCAGGGCACATGCAACACATGTAAGAGACACCCCATGAGCATCAGTTCCTTGGGACAGGGGATGTTGCACTGCAGCTACTATGGTACCTCTTCTTCATAAGGCCGCTTTTAAGAGCATGAGATATAGCTGACTTTCCTAAAACACAGGAACATGTCCCAAATTAAAGAATCAGACAAAACCATATCAAGAGACCTAAGTGAAACAGATATGTGTTATACCTGATGGAGAATTTAAAGTAATGATTATAATGATACTCGCTGGACTTGAGAAAAGAGTGGAAGACATCAATGAGACCCCTAAAAAAGAGATTAAAAAGAACCAAGCAGAGACCAAGAACATGATAATTGAAATTAAAAATACACATGATGGAATAAATAGCAGGCTAGAGGAAGCAGAGGAACAAATAAATGACCTGGAAGACAATAATGGAAAGCAATCAAGCTGAGCAAGTTAGAGAAAAAAATTATGCAAAAGAGAACAGACTTAAGGAACTCAGTGACTTCATCAAGCATAATATTTTCAGTATAGGGATCCCAGAAGGAGAGACCAAAGGGGGCAGAAAACTTATTTGAAGAAATAATAGCTGAAAACTTCCCTGATCTGGGAAAGGAAACAAATATCCAGATCCAGAAGGCACAGAGATCTTCCAACAAAATCAACCCAAGGAGGTCCACACCGAGACACATGGTAATCAAATGGCAAAAAGTATTGATAAAGAAAAAAAATTTAAAATAGCAAGAGAGAAGACAGGAAGATGATGGCAGAATAGGAGGACCCTAGACTCACCTCATTCCATGAATATAACCTGGTAACTATCAAATCATCCTAAATACCACAGAAACCAACCTGAAGACTGACAACTACAGAAAGAGGGCACATCAAAGAAGATAGGACGTGCAGAGATGTGGTTTAGGGGAGAAACAGATCTTGGCTGTGGCAGAGGGGAAGCAGCTGTGGTCATCGAGAATGGCAAGACAGAGAAGAGCATGCAGTGGAACGTACAAGGGGAAGGTCTCCTCAAAGTCATTGGCTTGGAAAACAAAAGGGGCTGAACTTCATGAGTTCTTGCAACCAGCACAGCTTAAAGCCTGCAGTTTTAAAGGTCAAGAGGCTTGGCTGGGATAGAGCCCAGAGGGCAGTGTTGCTCTTGGAGGGAAGGCAGGCAAACAACTTGTGGACATACAACATGGAAACAGTTATCCGAAGAGTGCCTGGGGCACATAGTGGGGAGATTATTTGCTTTTCTCAGAGCATGTCCCTTGAGAGGCAGCATTCACTGAGACACCTCTCTGGGAACAAAGCAGCTGGTCACTAGTTCCCTGCCCCACCCCTCAACATAAACACAGAACCACCTGCAGGAAGTAGTGCAATGTGGACACTGGTGGCCTAGCTTGTTTACACTAAGCGCCATTCCCCTGTACTCCAGTGGAACTGCCCTTCTCAGTAACACTTACCTCAGTGCTGGCACAGTTGGCTCATCCCCCAGAAGACCAGCACAAACCCCTGTCCACATCACATCTACCATTCAGAGAGTTTTGCAGGGCCTCAGTTCCAGTGGAGGAGGTAACAAGTCTCATTTCACAAGCTGATCAGAGTACACCTAATTAAAACTAACCACATTCAGGCCAGGGACCAAACACTGCCAACAGCTGGCAAAGAAAGCCTCTGAAACGACTGACCTGGAGGATAGAGCAGCCAGAACATAAGAGCAGAAGACATACAACACACTGTAGGCACTCCTTGAACCTTTAGGCCCTGGGCACTACCTGACCTCTTCTTCATAAGGCCCTTACTTTTAGGAGAGGAGAGGGAAACATAACTGGCTTTTCTAGCACACAGGACAAGGCAGAGTCTTAGAAAAAATGAGAAGACAGAGGAAGTATCCCAAATGAAAGAAGATAAGGTCATGGCCAGAGATCTAAGTGAAGCAGATATAAATAATATGCCTGATGGAGAATTTAAAGCAATGATCATTAGGATATTCACTGGGATTGAGAAAAGAATGGAACACATCAGTGAGACCCTTACCACAGAGATAAAAGAATTAAGAAAATATTAATCAGAGATGAAAAGTGCAATAAATGAGGTTAAAGATCCTTGATGCAATGAACAGCAGGCTGGAAGAAGCAGAGGAATAAATTAATGGCCTAGAAGACAAAATAATGGAAAGCAATGATACTGAACAAGAGAGAATTATACAACATGAGAATAGACTTAGGGAATTCAGTAACTCCATCAAAGATTTTAACATTTGTGTTATAGGAGTCCCAGAAGAAGAAGAAGAGAGAAAAGGGAGTAGAAAATTTATTTGAAGAAATAATCACTGAAAACTTCTCTAATCTAGGGAAGAAAACAGATACCCAGATCCAGGAGGCATAGAGAACGCCCATCAAAATCAACAAAAGCAGACTGACACCAAGACATATTGTAATTAAATTTACAAAATATAGGGATAAAAAAAAATTTAAAAGCAGGAAGACAATGGACCCTCAACTCTATGGTCAACTAATCTTCAACAAAGCAGGAAGGAATATCCAATGGAAAAAAAGACAGTCTCTTAAATAAATGGTGCTAGGACATTTGGACAGCCACATAAAGAAGAATGAAGCTGGGCCATTTTCTTACACCATACACAAAGATAAACTCAAAATGGATGAAAGGCTTCAATGTGAGACAGGAATCCATCAAAATCCTAGAGGAGAACATAGGTAGTAACCTCTTTGACATCAGCCACAGCAACTTCTTGCAAGACATGTCTCTAAAGGCAAGGAAAACAAAAGCAAAAATGAACTTTAGGGACTTCATCAAGATAAAAAGCTTCTGCACAGCCAAGGAAACAGTCAACCAAAGAGGCAACCCACAGAATGGGAGAAATTTGCAAATGACATTACAGATAAAAGGCTGGTATCCAAGATGTATAAAGAACTTCTCAAACTCAACACCCAAAAAACAAATAACCCAGTCAAAAAATGGGCAGAAGACATGAACAGACGCTTCTCCAAAGAAGACATACAAATGGATAACAGACATGAACAAATGTTCAAAAGCATCACTCAGCATCAGGGAAAACAAATCAAAACCACAATGAAATACCACTTCACACTAGTTAGATGGCAAAAATTAACAAGACAGGAAACAACAAACGTTGACAAGGTTGTGGAAAAAGGGGAACCTTCTTACACTGCTGGTGGGAATGACAAGCTAGTGCAGCCACTCTGGAAAACAGTATGGAGGTTCCTCAAGAAGTTAAAATTAGAGGTACCCTATGACCTAGCAATTGCACTACTAAGTATTTACCCAAAGGATACAAACATAGTGATCTGAAGGGGCACCTGCACCCCAATGTTTATAGCAGCAATGTCCACAATAGAAAAACTGTGGAAGACACCGAGATGTCCTTCAGTGGATGAATGGATAAAGAAGATGTGGTTCATATATACAATGGAATATTACTCGGTCATTAGAAAGGATGAATATCTACCATTTACATCGACATGGATGGAACTAAGTGAAATAAGTCAATCAGAGAAAGACAACTATCATATGGTTTCACCCATATGTGGAACATAAGGAATAGTGCAGAGGCCCATAGTGGAAGGGAGGGAAAACTGAATGGGAAGAAATCAGAGAGGGAGATAAACCATATGAGACTCTTGACTCTCAGAAACAAACTGAGGGTTGTGGAAAGGGAGGGGGTGGGGAGGATGGGGTAACTGGGTGATGGGAATTAAAGATGGCACATAATATGATGAGCAGTGGGTGTTATATTCAACTAATGAATCATTGAACATTATATAAAAAACTAATGATGTACTATACCTTGGCTAATTGAATTTAAATAAAAAAATAAAATAAAAATGGGCAGAAGACATCTAGATCACCAACAGACACATTAAAACATACTCAACATCACCCATCATCAGGGAAATGCAAATCAAAATCACAATGAGATATCATCTCACCCCATCAGAATGGCTAAAATTAAAACCTCAAGATACATCAAATGTGGATGAGGATGTGTAGAAAATGGAACCCTGGTGCACTCACTATTGGTGGGAATGCAAACTGGTGCTGCCGCTGTGGAAGACGGTATGGCCATTCCTCAAAATATTAAAAACAGAACTACTGTATGATCCAGGAATCACACTACTGGATATATTACCCAAAGAAAACAAAAACATGAATTCAAAGGGATCTATGTTTATTGTAGCATTATTTACAATAGCCAAACTATGGAAGCACCCCAAATGTCCATTGATAGGTAAAGAAGATGTTATATATATATAACATATATGTTATATATATACATTATATGTGTTGTGTTATGTGTCATATATGACTATATATATTATATATATATAATGCAATATAATTCAGCAATAAAAAAGAACAAAATCTATATATCAAAAGAGAAAGACAGTTACCATATGATTTCACTCATATGTGGAATTTAAGAAACAAAACAAACAGGGACATCTGGGTGGCTCAGTCGGTTAAGCATTGGCCTTCAGCTCAGGTCATCATCCTGGGACCCTGGAATCAGCCCCATGTCGGGCTCCCTACTCAGCAGCAAGCCTGCTTCTCCTTCTGCCTCTCCCCTCTGCTCATGCTGTCTCTCTCAAATAAATCTTTAAAAAAAGAAAAAACAAACAAACAAAGGAAAAAGAAGAGAGACAAACCAAGAAACCGACTCTTAACTTCACAGAGCAAACAGATGGTTACCAGAGGGGAGGTGGGTGGGAAGTTGTGTGAAATAGTTGAAGGGGATTAAGAGTACACTTATCTTGGTGAGCACTGAGTAATATATGGTAAATCACCATTTTGTACACCTGAAACTAATATAACACTGCACATTAACTACACAGGAGTTAAAATTTAAAGAAAGGAAAAGGAAAAAAACGATAGGTTTCCTTTTTATCCAAAACAACCATTTAGAAACCTTAATGGAGATGATTCTATTTATTTATTTACTTACTTACTTATTTATTTATTATTTATTTATTTATTTATTTTACTTATTTTATTTAAATTCATTTAGTTAACATATAGTGTACCATTAGTTTCAGATGTAGAGTTCAATTATTCATCTGTTGCATATAATACCCAGTGCTCATTACATCAGGTGCCCTCCTTAATGCCCATCACCGAGTTACCCCATCCCCCCACCCACCTCCTCTCCAGCAGCCCTCAGTTTTTTCCCCATAGTTAAGAGTCTCTTATGGTTTATCTCTGTCTCTAATTTCATCTTATTTTATTTTTCCCTCCCTTCCTCTATGATCCTGTTTTGTTTCTTAAATTCCACATATGAGTGAAACCATATGATAATTGTCTTTCTCTGACTGACTTGTTTCACTTAGCATAATACCCTCCAGTTCCATCCATGTCATTGTAAATGGTATGATTTTATCCTTTTTGATGGCTGGGTAATATTCCGTTGTATGTATGTATGTGTATATGTATATATATGTATACACCACATATTCTTATCCATTCATCTGTCAACGGACATCTAGGCTCTTTCCATAGTTTGGATTGTGGACATTGTTTCTATAAACATTGGGGTGCAGCTGCCCCTTCAGATCACCACATTTGTATCCTTTGGGTAAATACCTAGTAGTGCAATTGCTGGGCTGTAGGGTAGCTCTATTTTTAACTTTTTGAGGAAACTCCCTACTGTTTCCCAGAGTGGCTGTACCAGCTTGCATTCCCACCAACACTGTAAGACAGTTCCCCTTTCTCTGTATCCTTGCTAACATTCCTTGTTTCCTGACTTGTTAATTTTTGCCATTCTAACTGGTGTGAGGTGGTATCTCGTTGTGGTTTTGATTTGTATTTCCCTGATGCCAAGTGATGTTGAGCATTTTTTCATGTGTAGAGATGATTCTATTTATAATACTCGAGTAGCATATTTAACAAAAAATACAGAGTTTTTTTTTAATGAAGAAAAACATACTTTACTGAGGGATATAGATGAATAGTGAAGAAATAGAAATTTATATTTTTGGTTTTGAAGGTTCAATATTATAAATATTTCAATTTTCTACTTTTTTCCAAATTGATATATAGATTTAAAGAAATTTATTTCTGGATGTAAATTGAGTTATTTTTTAATTTAACAGAATTATTACAGAATATATTAAAATAAGAAACTGGTGACTATACAAAAGAATAATAAGGATTTGGTCATTCAAAAATCAATGTGTAATGTAACACACTATAATAACTAAAGCAATGTGGTTCTGGATTTGGTTCTGAATAAAAAAATCCAGAAACAGATTCAAAGGAATGTAATAATTTAGTATATTATAGTTTTAGTTATTGAAACTTATTTATAGAAAGACAAAATAGTCACAAAAAGTAAACTACTATGAAAAAGTAGTTCTCATGTAATAGTTTGTGACATACATCAAAATAAGTTGCAGCCTGATTTAGGATCCAAAATTAATAAATGAAGTGTGACGTTAGAATAAACACTGGGTAACAGTTATATGGTCTTGGCTAGAGCAAGGTTTTCTAAGCATCATATTGCAAAGGAATATTGCAATATATTTGGCTATTATTAATTTAAAACTTTTGTATGGTAAAAGATTCATTAGATATAAAGATAAATGCAAATTCTTAACAGAATGTTTTATATGACAATCTTTTACAAATCTATAAGAAATATGAATGCCCTTCCCCCAAATAGATACAAACAGGCAGGCCCATAGCTTAGAAACACACAAGGGCAATAAATACATATGAATATATCCAACCTCACTAGTTATCAAATAAATGCAACTTAAAATGACAGTGCGATAGATTTTATTTTTACTTACCATTTCAGTAAAAATTTTAGGAACAGAAATGTCTAATATTTGCAGATATATGCTAAAATAAGTAATCTTTTATATAATTCTATTACTATGAATTAATACTTCTCTGGAAGAAAATATATAGCAAAAGTTTTGGGACAACATAGGCTTTTCATTGAATCATTGCAGTTACAAAAATTTATCATAAAGAAAAGAGTGTACAGGGATTTTGTACAAGTATATAATATAAAAAATTTTAATAGCAAAAATTTTTAAATTACCAATATGTCCCTAATAAGAAATTTGCTAAATAAAAGTATACTATTAAATGTCCTTCTATTAGCTATTCTGATTTAGATGTACATTTATTGTCATTGGAACATATCTATGACGTTATTTAATAAAAAAAGCATATCATGTATGTATAGTAGGAGCCTAAAAATTTTAAAAATACATATATGCACTAGTTATATTTAGAAATAATGAAAAAGGTTATATATCAAATCTTAACAGTGAGTTTTCTGTTTGTGGTGAGATTATTTGTGAACTTTATTTTTGTTGATCTAAGAAAAAAATTATTAAAAGTGGCATTTAAAAACCTTATATTCTAGAAGAAATAAATTATTTTCCACATTTTCTTTTATTTGATACTATAGATATTAATTACCTTAGTTACATTCTATCACCTTTTCTAATATATACCTTTTATTTAGTTTTATTATGCCCCTCTAATAATTAGAGCTTTAAAAAAAATAATAGGGGAGCTTCCTGGGATATAAAAATAGCCCTCAAAGTGGAAGGCATTTCTTCAGTTTTTAATTTTAACCTATGGGTTAATGCAACTATGGATTATACCAGTGGTTTAATTCAGCTTCTCCAATTTAGTAAAAATAAAATTGAGAAGTAATGTGGACATGAATATATTCTTATTCCTGAAAGTTGTAATATTGACAGAAAAATGTCACACATAATGCTTGATAAACCATTGCTTTTTTAAAAACAGGAAGCTGAAAGAGCGAAGCATCAACTTGACTATTTCCTAAATCAAGGGAAAGAATTATTTAAAAGTGAAGGGAAGACCAAGACAACAATGGAAATGGGTATTAGTAAAATAAAAGTTGAAGATTCAAAAGATATACCATTGGAGAGAGGAAGAAGACAATCACTAGTTAAAGATTCAGGTGGACAAAAGACAGATTCTAAAATCCGAGAACATCTACAGGTAAGGAAGTTACTGAAATAGAGAAAACAGTAGAGACAGAAAAACAGTAATCTGTGCTGTAAGATTCTTTTATATTGTTGTTTACTTCATTTGTATACATTATTTCAAAAAAACTCTGCCCTGTTTTTTTGCTTGGACCTTTTGTCTTTTACCTTTGGTTATAGCAATTCATTGTCTTGAATACAAATTTATAAATTAGATATGTATTGGTTTTGAATGATGATATAAACACCCGAGATTTGAGAGCCAGAAAAAAATAGGATTTCATAGACTAAAGATTTTTGCTATAAATTAACAAAGTTAAATATAAATGCTAAACTATGGGGAAACATTTTCAAATTTATCTTTTTACTGAAGTACATTTGACACACAATGTTGTATTAGTTTTAGGTGTACAACATAGTGACTTGTTAAGTATGTATGTTATGCTTTGCTTGCTGCAAGTGTAGCTATTATCTGTGGGGGAAAATTCTTGAAAAAATGTATTTTTGTTTGTGTTGTGCAGTTGTGCAGATTCAGAAGCTCTTTCTTGAACATTGAGATTTATTTTTTTTTATTTTTATTTTTTTTAAAGATTTTATTTATTTATTCATGACAGACAGAGAGAGAGAGAGAGAGAGGCAGAGGGAGAAGCAGGCTCCCAAGGAGCAGGGAGCCTGATGTGGGACTCGATCCCAGGACTCTGGGATCATGACCTGAGCTGAAGGCAGATGCTTAACCATCTGAGCCACCCAGGTGCCCGAACATTGAGATTTATTAATCTGTGCCTTAGAAGAAAAGAACAGTCTACACATAAGCAACTTTATTAACAAGTAATGGGAAAAGTTCAAGAACTAAAGCAAAACTGTCAAGAATATAATTTTGCTTGTCTTTGTTCTAGCAGGATAGCTATTATCAGGTCTCTCATTTCTTTAATATTTTATATTCTTTAGTGTCCTTCCTTCTTGTTTTCAGAATGAGAGTTTATGTGTATAAGAGATATCATAGTAAAACTAGCAAATGGGAAATTAATAAAGTAAAATTAAAGGTCAATACTCTAGCTTTTGTAAGGAGACTATCATCACAGTAATTTTATCCTTATTTTAATCTTTTTTGTAGATAATTTTTTAAGTTTTTATTTAAATTCCAGTTAGTTAACATACAGTGTAATGTTAATTTCAGGTGTACAATTTAGTGATTCAACTCTTACGTATAACATCTGCTGCTCATCACAAGTGCACTCCTTAATCCCCAACATCTATTTAATCCATTGTATATAATTTTAATTGCAAACTATGTCAGTTTCTTCTTGGAAAGATAAAAAATTGCTCTTAGTGAAAAAGAAATTATTAAGGTTATTAGGGTTTTTTTGTCTTTGTTTTTTGCCCTGAATTGCATACAAAAGCAAATTTTTTAGAAATGCATGTTTCTGTGAACTGGCTTAAAACAAAGATAAAGTGTGGCAACACAATTTAAAATGTGCTAGGCATTCTATATCCTCTATCATTATAAAATATGCTGGTGATTTTATGTATATGTGCTAGTCATTTACACAATAAGTAATAGATGCCAATCATTTACACAATAAGTAGTAAGATAGCTATAAGCACCCCCATTTTGAAGATGAAACTGGAGCCTAAAAACACTAACTATGCAACATCATAGTAATGTTGAATTAGACTTCAAACCTAGGTCTTTCTGGCTTCAAAATCATGTCAGGATATCTTCTTTTCCTGTGTGGCTGCATTTGAACCCTCACTTTGTTAAATGGCTAGTGTTTTTTTATTTCCCAGGATTTTCCCCATAACCAAAATAAAGGCTGTCATATATGACGAGTTAAATAGAAAATGTTAGATTAAAAAGTAAGATGATTTTGAAAGAGCAACTTCATTACCTGAAGCATTTTACCAGGTAACTTCATCACCTGCAACCTGGGCAGGTGATTTTTATTTTTAGTGGTTTTCAATAGATTAACACGCACCTCTCTTATTAAATATTCAGTTTAACAATCCTTATAAAACACCTACTATATACTAGGTTCTTTGCATGGATGGTGTATATAATATCATTTATTTGGATTGGCCTGCTCTGGTAATAATGAAACAGGAATCATTACTGAGGATTTTGATGGATTAGAAGTTGTTCATACTCACTGTTTCCATGTTCTTATAGTAATTCTTCACTTAACTGTAACCTTTTTTCCCAACTACTATATTAAAACTATTTTTGCCAAGGTCACAACAAATTTACTTGATCCTATTCTGAAGGATGCTTTATAGTTTTATCTCACTTATCCTCTTAGCATTATTTGATCATGTTTGACCATTTCTTTCCTTCTTTTTTTTTTTTTAAAAGCTTTATTTATTTGAGAGAGTGAGAGAGAGAGAACAGAAGCAGGGGAAGGTGCAGGTGGAGAAGGAGAAGCAGACTCCTCGCTGAGCAGGGAGCCCGATGTGGGGCTTTCTCCCAGGACTCTGGGATCATGACCTGAGCCAAAGGCAGATGCTTAACCCACTGAGCCACCCAGGTGCCCCCTGACCATTTATTTTTAATGAAGTCTGCGTTTTGTTTTAGAGACAGAATAATTATTTGGTTTTCTTTATATTTCTGTGTTTTGGTCTCCTCTTGTGCTGCCCATTTTTTAACTGTTGGTGTTTCTCTGAGTTTTCTCTTCTGGATTCTCTTTTTATTCCACATATTCTTTCTGAGCATGCTTATATACCTTTATGGCTTCAAGTGCCAAATAAATCTTGTGTCAAACCCAAATATCGCTTAATTTCCAGACCTATTATCTATCAGCTTATTGAATTTACCTACTGAAATGGTCCACAGCATCTAGAATTCATTATGTCCTGAAAGGAACTAATTGCTTTCTTCTTAGACTGCTTCTTCTCCCACTAGTCACAATTTCCTGGCATCCTCATACACCTAATTGCTGAAACTAGAATCTTGGGAATCAATTTTGTCTCTTCTTTTTTTTTAATCAATCCAATTATTAGCCATAAAATTTTGCCCTTTTTTTTCCGGTTTCACTGGCAATTCCCAGGATGCTACCAGGATTCTAATTGCTGTCCTTTTGTCCAGAATTTATTGTCTTTAGTCCAGTCTCCATGTTGATGTCTAGTCATCTTTCAAATTGAAATCTGTTCAACCTTCTTGCCTAAAATCTTTAATGGTTCCCATTATTCTTTGGTTGAAGTACAAATTCCTAATTATGGGTTAAGGTGTCCTTTCTTGAGATGCCAGCCTCATTTTTAATTAGTCCTCACCCCCCCACACACCCATTCACTGCACATGACTTCATAAGCATGAGTGTGCACACACACGTACAAACATATATTTATGCTTTAGCTACACTGAACTTCCTTAAGTTCATGGAACACACTATGTTTTCTGTCACCTTCATGATTTTGCATAATTAGCTCTCTTTGTTTTCAACACTGTTTCTCCCTCCCTTGTTTCTTAAAATTCATCTGGTTAAAAAATGAATGAAGAACAAAAAGGACTATGTTACCTTTTGGTACGTAATAAATTACTCCAAAACTTAGTAGCTTAGACAACAAACATGTATTATTTCATAGTATCTGTGAGTCAGAAATCCAGAAAGAAGGCTTAGCTAGATCCTCTAGTTCATGGTCTCTCACAAAGATGCAATCAAAGAAAAATCAGAGCTGGGCAGTCAAGTGGTAAAAACAGATTTTGTTCAAAGCCATTGCAATAGGAGAAAAAAGACCTCAGTATAGAACTGTATTCAATTCCTAATACACCATGGGGAAGTAGAAATTTATAGCCAAAGAGTAGGTTGGTGGTCAGTGGAAAATTACTAAGAGGAAACATTGGGGGTGTAATGGAGATTCTGGCTGAACTGACCTAACAGGATCTTTGCCAAAGATAGGCAAGAGTGATAGGAGTGCCTCCGTGGCTCAGTTGGTTAAGCGACTGCCTTTGGCTCAGGTCGTGATCCCAGGGTTCTAGGATCAAGCCCCACGTCTGGCTCCCTGCTCACCAGGGAACCTGCTTCTCCCTCTCCCGCTTCCCCTGCTTGTGCTCTCTCTCTCTGTCAAATAAATAAATAAAATCCTTACTTTATTTTTTAAAAATTTAATTTTATTATATTATGTTAGTCACCATACAGTGCATTGTTAGTTTTTGATGTGGTGTTCAAAAAAGTGTGATCAGCTATCACCTGGGGGATAGTGAAGGATAAGGAACCTCCTTAAGTATTGAGGGAGATCAATTATGGAGAATGGGGCACTGTTGCTAAATTGACTCAGGATTCTTATTAAACTGGATTTTAAAAGGAAGTGCACAACCCCCCAAAGTTTGTTGTTTCTTGCCTTGTCAATTTTTGCCATTCTAACTGGTGTAAGGTGGTATCTTAAAGTGGTTTTGACTTGAAATTTCCCTGATGGCTAATGATGATGAACATTTTTTCGTGTGTCTGTTATCCATTTATATATCTTCTTTGGAGATGTGTCTGTTCATGTCTTCTGCCCAATTTTGGACTTGATTATTTGTTTTTTGGGTGTTGAGTTTGAGAAGTTCTTTATAGATCTTGGATACCAGCCCTTTATCTGTAGTGTCATTTGCAAATATCTTCTCCCCTTCTGTGGGTTGCCTCTTTGTTTTGTTGACTGTTTCCTTGGCTGTGCAGAAGCTTTTTATCTTGATGAAGTCCCAAAAGTTCATTTTTGCTTTTGATTCACTTGCCTTTGGAGATGTATCTTGGAAGAAGTTGCTGTGGCTGATCTGAACGAGGTTACTGCCTATGTTATCCTCTAGGATTTTGATGGATTCCTGTCTCACATTGAGGTATTTCATCCATTTTGAGTTTATCTTTGTGTATGGTGTTAGAGAATGGCCAAGTTTCATTCTTCTATATATAGCTGTCCAATTTTCCCAGCACCATTTATTGAAGAGACTGTCTTTTTTCCATTGCATATTTTTTCCTGCTTTGTCAAAGATTATTTGACCACAGAGTTGAGGGTCCATATCTGGGCTCTCTATTCTGTTCCACTGGT